TTCAATCATTTCCACATTCTGCCGGGGTCCCTTTTCTTGGGAATGGGCACAAATATGGATCTCTTCCAGTCAGTTAGCCAGGTAACAGTCTTCAAATGTCTCTCTTTTTGTCCCTCTTTTGTCTTCGGGTGTCTCGGCATAGACAACCAAGTGCTTCCAGCGCGGCATCATCTCATTGAAGCCTTTCAGCTGATAGCCTGTCAATTCCCAGACCTTGCTTTCGCCAGTGCCTTGAGGCCGCTGGGATTTCTTCCCTCGATACTGTTAGTTCAGGATCATATTCTCCCGCTTGAAATGGTGAGGGGATAGACCATCCCCAAACTCTAGCTGTATGTACAGTGAAGCCACAAAGGTGAAAAATGGAGGGGGGAAGGGCAAAGGTGGGAGTCCCCACAGAGCAGGGAGTGCAGGAAGGCTGCCAATTACTGAGTTCCATCCATGGGCCAGCATGATGAATGTATTGAGTGACCAGGGGAGCCTTCATTTGCCCCCTGACCTTGCCCTCAGCCACACCCTGCCTCTCCCTGGGCTCCCGCCCTCTGGGTGGTAAATCCTGCAGGTGCTTCCTCTCACTAGACTTACAGCCGTCAAGGTCATCACAGTGACCGCTTTGGGGCAGAGGGAACTGCCCATGGGCTTCCCGGGGTGTAATCCGGGCAGAAGCAGGCTGCCATAGAGTTCTACAGACTGACTGCTGGTTCAAACCCCCAGCCTGTCCTGAGCGGTCAAGCACTTTAACCACTGTGCCACCAGAGCTGGTTACTCTCTCTGTCGCCTCCTAATGTTGTCCTCTTCCCCGGCACAGCAGCTGCTGAGTGGTTTGTTTCCTACTTTCTTCCTCTGGGCCAATCACAGGGCATCTCTGGGTTCCCATGTAACCCCTGCAAAGTCAGGCTCCTGACAGCACCCAGCTCATCGGCTTGCTGTGAAGCCAATACAGAGCTGGCCGGGCTGAAGAGGCAGCACCGAGAACCAACGCGGGAGGCGCCCAAAGCAGTTGGAACGCTCTGGGACAGGTTAGCATTCTTACTTGTGAAGATAAAGGAATCTAACACAACTTGTCCGGAGTCTGTGCTAGGTGTCAGACCCTATGCTAGAGGCTGCCAAGAGGCCTAAGCTTGGGTCAGACAGTTGCGGGTAGTGGGAAGTTAGGAGAGCGAGCCCCAGACTCAACTGGGGTGGTGACAGATGGCCAGGTATCAAGTGATGAGGAACTGGCCATGGGGCCGGGGTAGGGAGGGGGGCCCAGCTAAGGTATTGGCATATGGAGCAGACAATGGCGGTAGGAGGGTGGAGAGGGGTCAGGTGGCAAACAGAACCAGAGAGTTGGCAGAAGCTACTATGCCCACCAGGGCTCCTTGCACCGACCCTATGACCTAGTGGGTCCACTCCTGGTTTACCCACAGCAGAAACGTACCCAAAAGACGTGTGTGCGAGAATGACCACGAGCGCAGGGCCCAACATGGAAGGCACCCCAAATGTCTATCAAGATTGAGTGGATGGTTGTGTGTGCATGTCATTGTGGAGCACCGTGCAACCACAAGAACGGACGACCCTGTGACAGGAGGAGGGACCTCACAGAGGTAACGGATGGCGAGCGACAGAGTCAGACACAAGATGTGCACTGGACCATTCCACTTACATAAAGAACAGAAGCAGACCCAGTGAGTCTATGCTCCGAGAAATCTCAGTTACTTTTAGGGAGGAAACAAGAGAGGTTATCTAACCAGCAAACCCATTGCTGACCCTTCCATTCCAACTCACGGCAGCCCCAGGTTAGTCAGGGTAGAGTTATGCTCCAGGCAGTGAACTGGCAGAGAGGACTGCAGGCTGGCCCCAACCTGAGCTATGCTGACCCCTCCCCAGAACAATGCACTACAGAAGATAGCACTGAAGATATAGCTGGGGCGACCGGTGTGTGTGTATTTGTGTGTGTGTGTGTGTGTGTGTGTGTGGTCTGCCCAAACCACACAAGAGCAGACTAAAAGGGAGAGAGAGAACAACATTCCTGCTCTGAGCAGCCAATGCAGAGAGGACCCTAGGGCTGGCCCCACCAGGAGACATGACACCCCCTCATTGACCCACCACTGGAAACACAGTGTGGGTATTGTGCAGTCTGCCCCCTCCTACACACACACACACACACACACACACACTGGGGCCAAACACAAAGGGAGCGACAGAGCAGCAAGGGGAGCAAAGCAATGACATCCCCGAGGAATCCCGAAAATAGACTTCAGACTCAGAGGGCAGGGCTTGGCACCTCATCAAACCCAATCGGAAAATATTCACAAGGGTCAGCAGACAGACCTGGAACTATTTATAGGCTTTTCCCCCCCATGTCTATCTATGTAAGATAGGCAAGATTGTTTAAAATCCTGAGGAGAAAACAACCGGACTGATGGTTCGCCAGGGACATGGGAGAGGAAGAGGTGGGAGAAAGAGAGGAGGGAGCCAACAAACCCAGGGACAAGGGAACAACAAGAGATCTAAAATCAATGAGGAGGAGGGTGTTGAATGCCTAGTAGGGTTTGATCCAGTACAATGTAGCTGAGAGGAATCACTGAGAGCCAAATGAAGGTCAAACATGATAGTGGGGCAGGAGGAAAGTAAAAGGAAATAGAGGAAACAACTAGGAGGCAAAAGTTATTTATAGAGGTCTAAATAAAGGAATGTAAGTATGTAAATATATTAATATATAATAGGGATGTAAGTCTATGTACATATATTTATAGGTTTAGTGTTAAAGTAGCAGATGGACACTGGACCTCTACTGAAGCCCTCCCTCAATGCAAGAACACTTTGTTCTAATAACCTTGTATTCTATGATGCTCACCTTCCCGACACAATCACTGAAGATAAAATGGGTGCATAAGCAAATGTGGTAAAGAAAGCTGATGGTGCCCAGCTATTAGAAGATATAGCATTTGGAGCCTTAAAGGCTTAAAGACCCTCTAGCAGGGAAGCAACAAAGCCCACGTGGAAGAAGCACTCCAACCTGTGTGATCAGAAGGTGTTGATAGGATCAGGTATCAGGCATCAGAAGACCCAAAACAATCATATCGATGTGAATGAGGGCGGTTGGAATGGAGACCCAAAGCCCATCTGTAGACAATTGGACATCCCCTCACAGAAGGGTCACAAGGAAGGGACGAGTCAGCAGAGTGCTGCATAGCATCAATGGAACACACAACATTCCTCTAACTCTCTAATGCTCCCCCCAACACACACACAGCACTATCATGACCCCAGTTCTACCTTACAAATCTGGCTAGACCAGAACATGTACACTGGTACAGATAAGAGTTCTCAACACACGGAATCCAGGACAGATAAACCCCTCAGGAACAGTAATGGGAGTAGTGATACCATGAGGGTAGGGAAAAGGTGGGGAGAGAAGGGGGGAAAAGGGGGAACTGATCAAAATGATTGACGTATAACCACCACCACCACCCCAGGGGTATGAACAACAGAAAAGTGGGTGAAGAGAAACCATGTACCGTGTAAGATATGAAAATAATAACAATTTATAAATTATCTAGGGTTCACCAGGGTGGGAGGGTGGAGGAGGGAGGGTAAAAATGAACTGATAAAAAAAAAATGAACTGATACTAAGGGCTCAAGTAGAAAGAAATGTTTTGAAAATGATGATAGCAACCTATGTACAAATATCCTTGATACAATGGATGTATGGATTGTGATAAGAGCTGTAAGAGCCCCCCCAAAATTATTTATTTAAAAAGAGAGAGACAGAGCAAGAGAATCGTGCGCCATCGGGCTTTCACCTGGACTGAAAGGCCTTGCTTCCAAGGTACGTCTGGGTGGATCGGACACTTCTGGCTAGCAGCCACGTGCATGAACCATCTACCTCTCCCACAAGTTAACGGGTGCCCATACTACTCAGTTTCTTGACTTGAGCGCTGGTTTGGTGAGTCCATAAAAGTGAAAACCCACCAGGCAGTGTAATATGGAGCCCTGGTGGGGTCGTGGTTACGCGGTGTGCGGCCAGCCTGCCTCATGGCCAGCCGTTCAACAGCACAGCTGCCCTGAGCAACCAACTCCATGGCAGTGAGCCTGTGATCTGTGAACTTCTCCTGCATGTGAATGCCAGTTAATCGATGCCAACTCATAGCAACGCTATAGGACCGAGGAGCGCTGCCCTTGTGGGATTCTGAGACTGTAGCTCTTCACGGGGGAACAAGCCTCGTCTTCCTCCCTCAGAGCGGCCGGTGGGTTGGAACTGCCGACCTTGTGGTTAGCAACCCAACATGTAACCTATTACATCACCAGGTCTACTTTGAAATTTTCATTATATATACATTTTTTTTATAGTTAAACATCAAAAAACCCTAATAAAATGATTATTAAAAAAACATCAAAAATAAAAAGAGTAATAGTCAATTACCTATAACAGTGAATTGGTTTGGCCCCCATGGAGGTATGAACAGGAAAGAAGCACTTTCCTCTGCTCTCCTGCCCAGGGTTCAAACACAGAATCGTAATCGCCTGTTTTGTTCAGATTAAAGATTTGGGCTGGAAGTTGGAGTGGGCTGGTGGCAATGTTGGGTAAGCTTTAGGCTAGGTCAACAGTTCAAACCCATGGGCCGCTTCTTAGTAGAAAGATGAGACTGCTCTGGTCAAGATTGACAAAGCTGAGGAAAGCCTATATCATGTTCACACAGGTCAATTAGGGTGCCACCTCCCTCTGCCTGGCATGGGCTGAGTGTCTGAGCAGGACCCTTCCTCCTGGGCACAGTGGGGAGGCCGGTTGGACGAGTCCTGCCCTGGCTTTGAGAGAAACGGGTCTCCCCACTCTGACCCTGAGTGGGGCTGGGCATCCCTCCCCAGGGACCCAGGGACTCAGCACCCCTCTGGCCTAACCCCAAATAACTACTTCCGGTCCCTGAGTAGGTGGAGCTGAGGGATCATGGTCCACGGTCAAAGGCAGAGCCTTCCAACTTTTGTTCAATGCTTCTGATATCGGGTGACCAGGATTGTCAGACCAATCAATCTGGTCGGTGTTTATAAAAGGCTCCCTCTCCCACAGCCAGAAGCTCTGGATGAACCTCAACCCTGCTGAGCTCAAGCCCCAGCCTCCACAGGTACCTCCTTTGAGTCCATTTCCCTGTCTCTGGAAACCCCCCTGCCACTGTAATTCCTGGGAGTCAGGGAGATGGAGTGGCAGGGTGTCCTGGGCTAGGGGTAGGCTGCCTAGCTCTGGCTGTCAGTTCTCTGTTTACCATAATGCAGCCTTCACTGGGCCACCTCGAAGGATATTCACTTGAATTTTCCTGGAAAGATGGGAAAGGGCCCTCACCTGGCCCCAAGTCAGTCCTGACTCTGGTTACAGCCCATCCTTGGGCTCTAAGATTGAGAGGGCATGGGGACCCACCCCCAGGGGCTCCCTTCTGGGTCTTGCTAGAGCGCCTGGGGGAGGTGAGCCTCATGGGCTATTTGGATCAGCTTTGAGGTCTCTTGGCATTGTTGGGCATGGGGTGGTCCCTGGGAGGTATTAGCAGGAGAGGGGCCACCGGGAAGCAGCCCTCGTAGGGACTCCTTGGCACCATGTCCCAGGTACACTGTCTGGGGCTGGCAGGGATGCTGTTTTGAGGTGGCCCCGTGCCCCCCACCACCACCACTTGAAGCTATGGGGATGGGTAGAGAGGAGGGTCAGACACTGGAGCTGGGACTCTGGAGCCTCCCTCCCAGCCCTGAGACTGTGAGGTCTGAGAACGAGTCCTTCAGCACAGGGCCTGTGGTGGGTGTGCCTGAGTGCTTCACTTGTGCCTGCTGTGTGTGTGTGGGGGGGGGGGGGGCAAGGGCAGAACAGGTGTCCCTGTTTATTGAGTGAGGAGGGAGGGAATAGAGTGAGCGGAGGGAGGGAGTGGAGTGAGTGAGCCAAGAGTGAGTGAATTCACCCTCAGTCTGACAACTCCTCTCTCTGCCCCCACAGTCCGTAAAAATGGCCTCATCCCAGGCTGTTTATTCCTCAGCCACCGAGCTCCTCCTGGCCTCTGCCATCTTCTGCCTGGTATGCTGGGGGATTAGAACCTGGAAGGCACAGGTCCCTAAAGGCCTGAAGAGTCCCCCAGGGCCCTGGGGCTGGCCCCTGATCGGACACATGCTGACCCTGGGGAAGAACCCGCACCTGGCGCTGGCGCGGCTGAGCCAGCAGTATGGGGACGTGCTGCAGGTGCGCATTGGCAGCACACCTGTGCTGGTGCTTAGCGGCCTGGACACCATCCGGCAGGCCTTGGTGCGGCAGGGGGATGACTTCAAGGGCCGACCTGACCTCTACAGCTTCAGCCTGGTCACTGATGGTCAGAGCATGACCTTCAACACTGACTCTGGACCAGTGTGGGCTGCCCGCCGGCGCCTGGCCCAGAATGCCCTCAACACGTTCTCCATGGCCTCAGACCCAGCCTCTGCGTCCTCCTGCTACCTGGAGGAGCACGTGAGCAAGGAGGTAGAGGTCCTCCTTAGCAGGTTTCAGGAGCTGATGGCGGGGGGCCGGTGCTTCGAACCCTACAACCAGGTGGTGTCGTCGGTGGCCAAAGTCATCGGGGCCATGTGCTTTGGACAGCACTTCCCGGAGAGCAGCCAGGAGCTGCTGAGCCTGTTGGAGAACAGCCATGAGTTTGTGGAGAGCGCCACTTCTGGAAACCCCGTGGACTTCTTCCCCGTCCTGCGATACCTGCCCAACCCGGCTCTGCAGAGGTTCAAGTCCTTCAACCAGAGGTTCCTCAGGTTTCTAAAGAAGACGATCCAGGAACACTATCAGGACTTTGACCAGGTTAGCCTGGGGCGGGCGGCGGGGCGGGGTGGGGTGGTGTGGTGGGGGGGGGATGGGGTAAGGCTCCAGAGAGAGAAGGCATGTGAGTGGGGACTTGACGGACAGTTGTGAGGGGCCAGTCTGAGCGAGGTCTTTGTTCCCCGTGGAACCTGAGTCCCAAGAGCGACTAATCCCCGACTCAGGTGACCCTTTGCTTCCTTATGTTCACACCAACTCCTTCCTCCTCTGACATGGGATCCAGGGGGAAATTCAGATGAGCATCAATGGTGCGTGAAATGACACACTAAGCCCTACACAAGACTTCTGCCAGGAGCCCCCACTTACTTCAGAAGCTAGAGGGGAGTCCCCAGCCCCCAGCGCCGCGCTGGGTGGGGTGGGAAGGGTGGGGTCCCCAGCTTTGGGTCCCAGGGATCCTGCTGAGCTTGTGACTCTTCAGAACAGTGTCCAGGACATCACAGGGGCCCTGTTCAAGCACAGTGAGAAGCAGCACTCCAGAGGCGCCAGTGACCGAATCCCCCAGGAAAAGATCATCAATCTCGTCAACGACATCTTTGGGGCCGGTAGGCACCAGATCCCCGCCCCTCCACCCATCTGGACTTACCTTTCACTCCCTTGCCCGACCCTTGGAACTATCAGAATAACCCACCATCCACCTCTAGACTGGGACAGGGCACAGAATGCTGACCCGGGACTAGAGTGTGAGCCCTGGCTGGGCCGCCAACCCCCCAGGGGAAATTTGACCAAGTCCCTCTCCTCCTCTGGACCTCGGTTTCCCTATATGAACAATGAAGTGTTCTCCAGCCTGGACGTCTAGGCCTCTGAGATTCCATCAACTAATTAGGAAACCCGTGACTCGGGTCAGTGTTGAGAAGACCCAGTTCACGGGCAACACCTAGTACCAGGTGAGTGCTTGGCACATGCTGACTCTCTGATTCCTGCCTTCCTTTCTTCCTTTCCTCGCCCCATACTGCCCAGGATTTGACACCGTCACCACAGCCATCTCCTGGAGCTTCTTGTACCTGGTGACCAAGCCTGAGATCCAGAAGAAGATCCAGAAAGAACTGGGTATGCTGTGTGCCTAAACCTTCCAGCCTGGGACCTGGGGGCCCCTGATCATTTGTTCCATCCACAGGCCCTATAACATGCCAAGCCCTGGCCATACCCGGATGCCCCCAGAAGATGCTGGAGCAGTCGGGGAAGCCCCTGAGCCCTGTCTGTCCCCTACAGATGCCGTGATTGGCCAGACTAGGAAGCCTCGGCTCTCTGACCGACCCCAACTGCCTTACACAGAGGCCTTCATCCTCGAACTCTTTCGACACACCACCTTCGTCCCCTTCACGATTCCCCACAGGTAAAGCCTGTCCCTCCGGACTCCACCTCGGAAATGCTCCCCTTCCTCTGCAAATCCTCCTCAGAGCTTTTCAGCCCTGGCATGACTCCAACCTCAGCATCTCCTTCCCGACTGGCACGCCAAGCTCCTCACCTAGCCCAGCTCAGGGCTAGCCCTGCCCCATTCAAACATGCCCCAACCACCCAGCTGGAAAGCCACACTGCAGACCTCGGCTCCCCTTCCACGCTAGGCACAGTGCCTCCCTTCTGCTCCACATAGCATATGCCAGCCAGCCTCCAATTGTGCTTGTGCTGGACCTGTGGCCTAGAATGTCTTCCACCCTCGTCTCTGGCTGAATCCCACCCTGGCTCAAGGTCAGTCCTGACACACCAATCCCCTCTCCCAGAGGCTCTCTGCACTCAGCCAGCTAACACGGCTTCATGCTTGGATGTTCTCCTGGACTTTGGTCCTCAATCCTGTCCTGGATTTTCATCCTTTTTCTAAAAAAAAAAAAATCCTCCCTGACAGTCAGTCTCTGTGACTCATAGACCTAGAATAACTAGAGTATGCAAATGTCATGTGCATCTAATAGTCCCTAGACTGAAGCAATGATGACGGGCTGTAGCATTCCAAAAGTAAGTGTGGAAAAGAGAATTCCTTACTTTGGCTGAAGCCAAAGAACACGCTGATTTTGGGAGGAGGCCCTTTTCTCCTGCTCCCAAACCTACTTCTTTAACCCTTTTTTGATGAAAGGTGAGACATATCAAATCTCTCTCTCTCTCTCTCTCTCACACACACACACACACACACACACACACACACACACACTACATAGCATGTCCTGGGATTTTTTAAGCAGTAAGAAAATCAGCGAGCATTGGTCTAGTTACTTCCAGAGGGAGAAACCTGACTCCCAGCCAGGCTAGGGGCAGTGCCTCCTTCTTGGGGCCAGAGAATGCCCGCATGGCGTAAGCCTGGAAAAGCTTCAACGGGAGCAGGAGTCCAGGAAGGGGAAGGGTCCTTCACCTGTCTTCCCCAGTCCCCACTACCTTCTGATGCAGGACTGGGAAACTGCAGGGGGCTCTCAGGGTGGGGTGGAGGTAAGAGCACACAGTTCCCAAGGTCATTGCCCCAGCTTTCCTGGCCCCTGAGGCTGACAAAACTCTCCTCTCTCTTCAGTACCACAAAGGACACCACGCTGAACGGCTTCTACATCCCCAAGGAGCGCTGTGTCTTTGTGAACCAGTGGCAGGTCAACCACGACCCGTGAGTACCATCCCCCACTGGCCAGTCAGCGAGCATGTCCAGCAGCCAGGAAGGCTGTCTGTCTGTTGCCTTCAAAGAACTCGTTATCCAAGGAAGGAATGGTGCCTAACTGCGGTGTCCAGCCTGGTGTGAACGAGGTCTACGTGGTGCATAGGAAGAAAGCAGAAAGCTTATTAAAGAGTAGGGGGGCCCCCGCCCCAAGAGTCTACGTCAGCCAATCTAAAGCCGGTCCCTCTGGTCCTTCGGATGTGAGTAGCCCAGGGACCTCTCAATCTGTAAGTAGGAGGGCCATGTAATTTACTACCTCGCACTGAGACATTTTTGACAGTGAAAGGGGATGCTATGCATAATTACCTTAAGACAAAGAGCAATCACCAGGAGGCACAGCCAATGATTGATGACGTCACCTGTTGAGGACAGGTAAACATGATTTCTTCCTTTCTTTTTTGAAACGCATTCTTTCTTATAACAAGTCGAGACATGAGAAAGCACTGCTCTCCAGGCTGGTCATTTTTGGTAGAAGTTGGTAGAACAGCCGTGAGCAGTGGTCCCTTTCGCTACGCTCCCCGGAGGCCGGCACATGCGTGGTCATCAGTCCGGGGAGCCTCCGCACATGCGTGGTCATCAGTCCGGGGAGCCTCCGCACATGCGTGGTCATCAGTCCGGGGAGCCTCCGCTCTGGGTTTCCCTGTGCAGGAAGCCTTTCCTCCCAGGGCCTCGGCAGCCCTGAGATTCCTTCTCCTCTGGCCCTGTCTCAGGAAGGTCTGGGGAGACCCCTCGGAGTTCCGGCCCGAGCGATTCCTCACTGCCGACGGCAGCACCATCGACAAGAACATGAGCGAGAAGGTCCTGCTCTTCGGCATGGGCAAGCGCCGGTGCATCGGCGAGGTCCTGGCCAAGTGGGAGATCTTCCTCTTCCTCGCCACCCTGCTGCAGCGCATGGAGTTCAGCGTGCCACCAGGCGTCACAGTGGACCTGACCCCCATCTTCGGGCTGACCATGAAGCCCCAGCGTGGCCAGCAAGTGCAGGCCCGGTTGCGCGTCTCCGTCCAGTGACAGAGCCCGGCCTCCCCCACCGTGCGGCCGCAGGCGCATGTGGGCACTCGTGGGACTCTCGCTTCTGTTCCTTAAACATCGAAACACCCGATTCCGTTCTTGAACTGTCATTTCACCTGTTACTTTGTAGATCCACGAGACTGTTCTGTATCATCACAATAAATCTAGAGACTCCGCACCCAATAACAGCCACTCCCCATTTCCCCCCTGCTGTCCCCCACCCCCACCCCAGCCCTAGGCAACTCTGTCCCTGTAGATCTGTCTAAGGAGGCCTGGCGGTGCTCTTGGGTAGGCGTTGGACTGCTAACCACAGGTTTGGTGGTTCAAAGCCACCAGCCCCTCCAAGGGAAAGAGATGAGGCTGGCTGCTCCTGTAAAGACTGACAGGCTCAGAAACCCCACCGAGGGTCACGACTAGGGAGTCAGAATCAATTTGGGAGCAATGGGTTTCTTTCTTTCTTTTTCATTTTATTTATTACACAATTTTATTGGCACATAATTTACATAGCATACACTTCAATAGTTCAATCATATCAAGGAACATTGTACACTCATTGCCACATCAATTCCAGAACATTCCCCGCCTCCGGGGTTAAATTGCCTTTAAAACGAGGTGTGCGATCACAGTCAGTGGGAAATGAAGACAGGAGGGGGAAGGGGTT